GTCCATTGTCTCACTCCAAGCAGATTATACCGACAGAATAGATGATTCATTGCAAGGTTCAGTTGGATTGCCTCTCATTTTGCAACTCTAATTGGTGGATTGGCCTCTCATTCAATCACCCAACTACTGGAATTTTGGTCTCCAATACCTCATCCTTGGACCTTGGCAATAGATGCATTCCATCTGGACAGGACGGGATTACCACTCTCAAAATTCTCTCCACTTCATATGTTATCCAGGGTACAGAATATAATTTGTTCCAACTCATTGTCAGATCCTGTTGATTGCACCAGATTGGCAGTTACAGCTGGGTTTCTGTTTCTGTGGTCCTTTCCAGTGTATCCAACTCATCCACTTCTTTTTCGGCTCTCTCCTTGGAGGCAGCCATGATCTTTCACACGGCATTGGGGTTTAATTTCTATGACTGACATGTATCTGGTTCAGTTTCTGCTTTGTCCAAAAGTCACTTTTCTCAAAGGTAATGACATGCGTATCGGCAATGTTGTATTGAGAGGAGTCAGTGGTCATTTTGGACTTGGCTCTTTGACAGAGATTTTTGCATCTTCCACAATTGCCATTGTTTATGGTGGCCTTATAGACTACCATTCAATTATTGCAACTTCATATTTTTGAGACCCCAGTACTCTCCAGATTCCTTGCATCATTTTGGGTAATTGGTCCTAAATTATCCACTCCAGGGAGATTCAGGTTATGTGTTCTTTCTCTACACCTGTTTGTGACCTGACTCTTATATGCCATGTATCTATCCCCTTTACCTGAAGGTTTTTTTTTGTAACTGCTGATCTACAGACATTGCCTGTCAAAGGGATTTGTACTGTTTATCCATAGACCAATTTCTCATTCACTCTACATCCTCAGACTGGTTCTTCTTACCCAAGATGCTGTCAGATAGGAAATGGAATAAATCCTTTTCACCATTTCATTTGATCACTATTTCTCACTTGTGTGTCAGATCAGATTTTGATTATGGTCCTGTTCAGTGAGAGTCTTGAAGGTTTTGTTACCTGCACTAATGTTTTTAGAGATGCTAGACAATGACTTTTTATTCTGGGTTCTCTTTGAAGGTGAGGAATTTTCTGCAAGTCACATATTGTCAGATTTGTCACATTTTTATGTCTTTAGCAGCTTAGTTGAATTGCCTGCTGGAGGACATTGTGCAGACTGGTATGTGGACCTCCCCCAATACTTTTATCTTGCATTTGCATGATTTGGCAGTATCTTCATCTAAGGGTTTTTGCCTACTCCCTGTAGCTATCTTAACCATTTCTATTAAATTATACAGAGGGGTGAGTATTTTCATTGTCACCTTTCAGGGTCCTTTACTTTGTTTGCATAAGATCCCACTCTGTGGCGAGTGCTGCCCAGGCAGTTGTGCTTTTTTCCAACCAATCCTCACTAGCAACCACTAATTATAATACTTTGTACAGGTTGCAACATGCTTTGTAAAAATGAGGTGTTCCATATGACCACCTAGAGGCTGACCAGGTGGTATTACTGTACTATGCTGGACCACCACTCATGGACTATCATAAGTAAAGCATATGGTGGTCCTGCATATTGCACTGTTTTCAAAGCACTGTTTCTCGGGGCTCCCCAATGTGTATTACCCCCCAGATTCTACTAATGGAGCTAAGAAGTCCTTACCACACTCAGTTTCCAGTCACTTGGGTGGTGGACAGATGCTTTTCCTCCAGAGTGTTGAGTGAATTCCTCTACTATTTGAGAAGAGGGTGAAGTTGGGGGCCCTCCTACCTGGGTCCCTGGATGTTTTTTCCCAGATGTAAATAGGAATGGCACCAGCCTACTTGTAATACTGGTTCAGATTTGATGCTCGGCTATCTGGTTTGGTTGAGCTTGACCCTTCCTTTTGATCAGTATTGGTTCAGTACATTCTTTATGGAAGAGTGTCCACTGTCTCCTTGTAATTCTGAACACAGTGGTCCCATCTTGGGTCCTTGGTTGAGCACAGTTGTTCCACGTCCTCCCCATAATTCTGGGGGCAAGGGGAACTTAGCTTGTCTACACAGTTGGGTAGTGAGGATGAGTGTTCATAATTCCAGACCAGAGGAGTTCTGTTTCCTCATATTGAATATGGCATACACGATCCAATCATTCCGAGCCTATGGTGTTGCCTTTCAGACTTCTTCAGGTTGAGGAGAATGTTTGTCCACTTAAGTGTTGCTTACTTTCTCATTGTTGTTCTGGTGGCTCTTTAATGTGTGTGTGTGTGTCTATGTGTATATATATAGGGATCATGGTCCTTTAGTTCCAACCCTGAATAGTGGAACCTTGGCTATCTGTTCTGGATGTAATGCAGTTCCCCTACTACGGTGCCAACCTTCTATTTACACACTCATGATCTATGCAGACACTTTCTGTATGGATAATGCTCTCACCAGCCTCTCCACCTTAACAATTCTAGCTGTAGTGTGAGAGGAGGTATGTTGTGAAGTTAACATTTTCTTAAGTCAAAAATGTATTTCCAGTAATACTTATCTCCTTCCACACTCTCCCACCCTTCTTCCCCACTAAGAGCCAATGTTAGAGACTGGAATTAAGTCAATCTTGAAAAAGTGATAACATTATCTGAATGAGGTGCTTATGTACAGAACCACAATAGAGGGCACATTAACGTAGGTGGAGAGTCACGAGATAAATATTGCCAAGGGCAATTCAGTGGGGTATAAAAGACTGGAGCAAGTGATAAAAAATGAGACCAATGTTAGATGGCAAAGAAGAAACCCTGGCAGTTGAGTAATAGCTATAAATGTGAGGAGAGAGGTAAGTATTATTGGAAATACATTTTAGATATAAGAGATGGATGCTGTACATACAGGTATGAATGTTACCTCGACAACAGTAAGATACACATTAAATGAAGTGAGTTCTGTGGATGTGTAGCTGTTCAAAATCTGCTTCTCAGAAGAATTAACCAAAAAAAGGATTGAAAGTGCCATCAGACTACAAACAGTAGAATGAACAAAGCTGGAGATGTGTGCTCCATACAGATGACTCTAAGTTTGAATTGTTCAGCAACAATCAGCAATAGTTCATTTGATGGCAGAGAGGAGAAACTTATCACAGTCAATGTTCAACATCCAGTAAAACATGACATGTTTGGGACTGCATCTCAGCCAAAAGTGTCAGTGATATACATAATATTGATAGCACACCCTGCATATTGGCAGGTAGGGCAGATTCTGATCTACCTTGTTAGTTGCTCAGAAACATTACGTGTCAGGTTGGGTTTCATTTTCCAGGAAGACAATGATCATGAGAATAGAGCAGTTTTGAGGAAAAATATCTTAATGTTAGAGACCAATGGAACACTCAAAACACACAAGGTCACAGTACAAGGCTGTATAGTTGTTTGTAAAATCTGAGGTCAAAAGTTGTTTCATCAACTTTTGATTTGTGGAAAGTAGTATGAATTGTACAACTTATTCACCTTTGATTTTTTTTTTTTTAATGTTTTGTACCATTTATAAATTTACTGTCATTACTTGTTTGTGACTCACGTATATGTGCATCCTTTGTATATTCCAATAATTATTTTCATTAATTTTTTTTTTGTATGTTGCACATATATATATATATAGTTAGGACTCCAGGAAAAAATATTGTTTGCTTTAAATTTATTGTAAATTTCTCAGAACTCCACTCAAAAGTACTCTATTACTAATGCTTCCTTTTGTGTGAATGCTTGCTTAATTGCATTTAAAACCAAAAGGTTATTTAGTATGATCATAACTTTAATGCTTGTGTGAGACAATAGAAACTACATTTATAAGATTATTGTCTTTCACTCACTGAACTTCACTTGCTTGGTAAAATTCCATCATTATGTGAGTGTACTGTGAACCATCATTTCCACTGAAAATTGTATTAAATTGTAATACACCATTAAGTATTTTTTGAAATATATAACTGTTGAACTATGACAAATAACAATGAAATTTGTTTTTAAAATATTCTGCAATTGCACTAATTATATAAAGGGTGTTTTTATATTCCTGATTGCTTTTGTAAACCATATTTACCAATCTGTTTGTAATTAAATACCACTTTTGTGTTTATCAAATTTGTGGGGCTACATTATTTTATATCGGGCCCAGCAGACACGAAACATTTTTCAAGGTTACACAGTAACAATAGTGTATTAACCCAAAACAGACTACTAATATATATGTACAAAAACTTGGTATTTTCAAAGAGTAGTCCCCCCCCCCCCAATTGGAAATAATAATAAAAAATTGGGGTTAAGTTTAAGTGTTGGTGGTAATTTCATTAGAATGAAATTAAAAATTATCTTATGCTCACCTCAAGTAAGTTATTCTTAGTAGTTTCATGTGAAGTAGATAGTATAAGTATAGTTTACCTTAAGTTATTAGGTTTTCATACTGTTTACAGAGATCAGTTTTATAGTAACAGAATCATGCTGCCTCAGGCATTTTATTATTTACTATCATAAGTATAGATTGTTTTAAATGTATTACGTGTTAAGTAATTTTTTTTATATTTTTATTACAGAGAATGGCACTAATAAGAAAAACTTTGAAGAAATAACGACTTTCTTGTGGGTTCATATTGATTTCTTTTGTATGAAGAGTAATGTTTTCATCTTTGTGGCTTAATAATGTATTATTAGAGCAATTCTGAATAAAGTTTTTTTTCTTTTTTACAAATATTAAGATTTTATATTTTCTTTGAGGTACAAAAACATTGTTCCCATTTCAGAGCCACTTCATATGAAATCAGTAAATTGCTTAAACAAATAAAAAGCTCAAAACAATTAACAGAGAATCAAAGTTTTTTATGTTCTAGCTATGAAAAGGCATGAGTATTAAATAATTTCAGTGACATCCCTGAGTTTGTTTTTGTATGCACAGTAAGTGTCAAGTAGTCTGACATGAATACTTTATTGGTGTATAATAGTGAAGAATACAGTATATGTTAAAGAGATTCATATTGATAGTGAAACTGCTGGGATACCTAACAAACACATATGAGCATTTCTTTTTTGGTTGGCTAGAAGTTGGTAAAACATTCCAAGCCAATATAGAATGGCTATAAGTTTCACAAAGTGTGATTAGTAGGATGTGGACTCACTTTCAGGACACCAATACAATTAACGGATGGCCTGTTCAACAACCTTGTAAGAAGACTATTTGACAGTATGGGCTTGAAGCAACTGTAAATCTTTAGCTTGTCAACTGAATTAACAGTTTAGAGCAGCAAATGATCAGAAATAAATTTCATAAGAGTTGCCTTTATACATGATGACCAATGGCATGGTTTCTCTAACTCATTATTACGAAACAGCTTGTCTTCAGGAGTGTCAAGAACATGGATTGGTCAGATGACTTGTGGGCAGTTGTCTTGCCCACAATGAATCACACTTCACGTTGCAGCCATAGGCAAGATATACAAAATTGAAGAGTACCCTGAAGCAGATCCAGCTCCAATTTCACGAAAGTGGCCACACCAACAGTTACATGCTACATACAATATGGCACTATGTTTGACATATGATATACAGATGCAGTCTTACAACTTTTATGCGTGGTCATAATTTCCTTCTCATAAATGAGAACAAAAATAAAAACACCCAATGTGCTCAACTGTTTAGCAAGTTCCTTGAAGAGCATATTGAGTGAATAGACTTGAATCTGATTGAACAAGCCACTTTACATGTAAAACATGTGACTCATCTCTAAGCAGTGTTGATAAATTGGTAACAATTCTGGTAGTGGACAGAGTGATATTTCTTCAGCAACTCATTGATTTTCTTCTTTTAAGCTTATCACAGTGCCCAAGGTTGCCATATTGCTTTACAAACAAACATTTTTTGATTACTTATTAGTGTGAAAAATGTGAAGCACCAAGTGACTATATTAGATCACATGATGGGTTACCAGACACTTGTTTTATAAAAATAAACTAAGGATGCCATTAACATTGTTTATTTATATTATTCATGCCTTATCACAACTAGAATATAGAAAATTGTCTCTTTGTCATAACCAAAATTTATTGTTCTTAACTCTCCTTATCTTTTGGTCCTGGCATGGCCAGGTGGTTAGGGTGCTTGACTATCAGTCTGAGGGCTCGAATCCCTGTCACACCAAACATGCTTGCCCTTTCAGCCATAGGGGCATTATAATGTGACAGTCAATTCCACAATTTATTGGTAAAAGAGTAGCCCAAGAGTTGGTGATGATGACTAGCTACCTTCCCTCAAGTCTTTCACTGCTAAATTAGGGACAGATAGCCCTTGTATAGCTTTGTGCAAAATTCAAAACAAACAAACCTTATTTTAGAGTAAAATATTAGTTCATTGACAAATAATGTTAACTAACAAGGATTTTTTAGGTTACAAAAACATTTGTTTTTATAGATTGCCATTATCCTTCAAAAATATTTATAAAAGAAAATCTTTGTAATTGTTGAATATAAATAACCCAATCTTTTAGTAAGAGTATTGCTTAAAATATCAGTAATTAGTACACACTCACATTAAATTAATGTGCATGTAGTATGCTGAAGCATAACTAGTTTTTTCAGAATTTTTCACACAAAGATGTTTATTATGCAAGTTTAACAACATAATTTTGGTCAAAAAGTGTGGGTAAGTTCCCTTTACTCTAGTTATTACCTATTGTTATGGGTTATTGCTTTTTGTTGGGCTCATGTTTGCTTTCTCATGGAAAATATTTCTGTAGAGTAGAATACATTATGTAAAGGCTAACAGTGATATTTCCCACTAGTAGCTCAGATAGTACTTTGACAACATAACCTTTCTAATTTTTCTATTAGAATAACAATTTGTAATGTGCATTTGCACTGAGTGGGATGGCACTACAGATTCTCATATGTAATGCTATGCCTTCTAAGTCTGGGGAACAGATCAATATCTTCTCAGTATGTCCCGCGGTAGCTTTGATCTTTTACCTACAGTAAAGGTAGATCCTTGGTGACTTGGAAGTAAGTCAGAGGGCTTATATTGTTAAAAATTGGTATCCAATACCATGGTGGGTAGAGCATAGATAGCCCATTGTTTAGTTTTGTGCTCAACAATAAACAAACAAATCAGTAAAAGTTCTGCATTTTGTTCAGTACATTTGGCAATTTGATTGTTTTTATAAATAAGGATTGATTTTCATATTGATGTTGGTCAGTTCTTTTTACTCTAGTTACCTATTGTTATGGGTCCATTGCCTTTGTTGGGCTCAAATGTGCTTTTTCATGGAAAATATTTCTGTAGAATAGAATACATTATATAAAGTTTGACAGTGACATTTCCCACTAGTAGCTCAGATAGTACTTTGACAACATAACCTTTCTCATTTTTCTATTAGAATGACAATCTGTAATGTGCATTTGCACTGAGTGGGATGGCACTACAGATTCTCATATGTAATGCTATGCTCTTTTAGTTTGGAACAGATCGATATCTTTTCAATATGTCCCAAGGAAGCTTTGATCTTTTACCTTCAGTAAATGTGGACCCCTGCTGACTCGGCAGCAAGTCAGAGGGCCTATATTGCTAAGTATTGGAATTCACTATCATGGTGGGTAGAGCATAGATAGCCCATTGGGTAGCTTTGTGTTCAACAACAAACAAAAAAATCAATCAGAGTTCTGTGTTCTATCCAGTGCACTTGTCAATTTGATTATTTTTCTGAATGAAGACAGTTTCTTATCTTGTTTGCATTGTGTACAGTCTGTTTCTTACTCCAAGCTTGATCAAAGTCAGAATTCAGACTCACTCTGTGATATATTTTCTGGATGAGCCTTTGGCTATTTGCAGATACTACCTGAAAGTGTACATGAGTCTACCACACATGCAATCCAGATCATTTATATTTGACAACAAAATTTTATGTTATAATAATACTTACTGAAATTAACAAAGTGTGAAAGAAGTTTAATTGTTTTTATCTTCTTTTTCTTTAACTTAGAAAATAAAAACACTGCTAAAAAGTAATATGGTTGATAATCCATTTATGTAAAACTAATAAACTAAAGAAATATTTTTCCTTGTAGCATTAAGAAAAAAGCTGGACTGAACCAAATTAATTTTATAATATCTGTGAATAGAGATGTGTCATTTTGAAATGCTTAAAGTAAGTTATCTTATCTCCCTCTATACTGAAATGCAACTCAAAGTTCTGTATTATTATATTTCTTATTAAAAATAGTGTAAACAGGTTTAGTGAAGCTTTACTAAAGAAAGTAACTTAAAATTGATCAGTGTTTATGTGGAGAAATGTACACAAATTCCCATTTCATGAGGGTGAATCCATGCAACTGTGGTTAAATTGCTTCCCTCTGATAAATCAGGTAGTGACCATAATAGCTAGATTCAAACAGAAAATGTTATATAATGTAAGTCTGTACTCTCTTGGTCTTACGAGTTGTGGTAAAAAAACAAATGAGAGACAGTGTTACAAACACTGTGAAGGTAATCTTTATTTAACACAAAACAATCACAAAGAAAATAAGCGCTTCACTGGATTTTCTGCTAGACCTAAAAGATATTCACATATGAATAAGAAGACTGTTTGTTTGAAAATCTATTCCAGACAGAGAGAACATAGCATTATATAGAACTATATATAATGCCATCCCTTTCATTGTGTATGTGCTACCACATCACTAAGTCAATCAAAACATTAAAGAGGGAATATTTTCCAGGTATCTATTGACTTTCTAGTGGAAAAGTTCACTAATCACCTTTATATAATGCACATGTGGCATGAAAGGGAAGTGATCTATAACAGTAGATAACGAGAGTAAGAGGAATTTAGCCACATTTCATGATCAATATTCTATGGTCAAAACCACATACACTTTCTGGTTTTTATACTGGAATCTGGTATGTGAACCTTGGTATCAGTGAAAATGAACAGGACAGTATATTATTCATAACATTTACAATATTTGCCGAGGTAGTGTACATTGTGATCATCTGAAGTAAATGGAAAAGTCATTCATGAAACAAAACTTTAAACTAAATTTAGCTGTCCTTATGACAAAAAATAACTATCCAAGCCTTCAAAGTTGCACTTTGTTTACCAATGAATTTGACAATTTTATGTAGTACACAATTTCTTATTTTTAATACCAAGTGTCTTTCTTTAGAAGTATTAAATTAAAAAGATATAAACTTTGTGTAGCATTGTGTGTTTATGGATTATAAGCATAATAACTTTTTAAGTTTTTAGACATTCTTAAAATGTGGGAGGCATAAGAATACTTTATGATTATTAATTTTATGACCTATGAATGTTGATAACTAATAATTTTAATACATATATATATTAACATAGGTTTGAGTATTTCTCTTAGCTGCAAACCTCCTTCCACTGATAGCTCAACAATAAGTCTGAGGGCTTGTCATACAGATATTGGGTTGTAGTATCTACCCATGATGAACAGAGCAGAAATAGCCCATCATGCAACTTTGTACTTAACACAAAATAGTGTAAAATAACTGTAAAAATGACAGTCATGTTTGTTTTTATACAATGGATTATCTGTGCTGTGTCCATTATGGGCCTCATTCTCCAAGTTTACCATTAATCTACCAGTTGACATAAATTATACTGAAGTGAAATTATTCTACTTAGGTTTAAACTATTACTTTTCCTCCTACTTTGTCATGTATATATTAAAGCAATCTAC